CCCTATGCAAAACAAGTATATTTCTCACTGCACCATCTCCAGGGTGCACAAATTAGCTTTCTAAACAACTACCACTGTCAAGCCAATCAAAAACTCACAGTATTTTTATACACGGTTGATGTCAGCACCTAGCAAAGCTATGAGTCCTCTACTCCAAGCATCAGGTGTTGGAATTTCTCCCTGACAATCCCAGCCCTCCACCTTTACAATCACATACTTGGTCCACTCCTGCTGGCATAATAATATTTCTTCTGTATTCGTGAATCTTACCAACTCACTCGTACTTGCTGACCCCATTCCCAAATCAAAGTGCTGTAATACCAAATTCTGAAGTCGCGGTTTCAGTTCTGAAACTGAAGAGAACATGCAATTCACACATGTCACACATGTCACAATATGTAGCAAAATGATGCCATGTAGTTAAGAGTACATCTCTGTGGTTCTCAAAGTCCAAAGAGTCCCACACTAAACAAAAGATTCGGATAGTGGAAAACTGTGAGGATCTTGGCAATTCTACACTAGGTTATGTTTTTGTTTTTGAGCAGACCTGGTGATGTTCGGGGAACCAGGTTATTGAACAGATTATTGTACAGGTCACATTCAGGCACTGCAAGGCGCTCCCTGCTGTACTATCGTTTAGATCCAAACTATCAATGTTATGGTCTTATTTATTCGAAAGCCATGGAAGCAAATTACAGGATTATTCTGTGATTGACAGTCCAAGGAAATGAAGAGCACCTTGAGTGCGGCTCAGACCCAAGGATACAGGACACCAAGGCCCCGGCCTCAGCAGCATGTTTCACACATGCTCAGGGCACCCATACACTGCACAGGGCCTGATCCAGGAAGGGTCCTCAGACACTCACCCGCACACACGCCTCTCCTACCCGACCTCAAAACTCCTCCTTCAAGCCAGGAGATCACTGCAGGCTTCATTCCAGTGTGCCCTGCCCCAACAGAGACAGAGGCATGGATAAGTCACAGGGAAAAGGTGACAGGTAAATGCCCATGTTTTCTTGATAAAAATCATGAACAGAATGTCCATTTCCAAAATTCCACATATTTCTAGTTATTCGAAGGTAAGACCCAAGAAAATATCACAGATACTCTAGACCTGGCCTTGTGTATGGCCGACAGGGGGTTGATTAGCACAGTATGTTTTTGTTTTTTGTCTTGTTTTGGGTCTCACCTGGCAATGATCAGGGGAGACTCCTGACTCTGTATTCAGAAATCACTGCTGCTGGTGCTCGGGTATGACATGGGTTGCCGGGAATTTAACCCACGTGCACCGCTTGCAAGAAAATCACTTTCATCCCTGTACTATCTCTCTAGGTTCAGCAGCACATGGAGTTTCCTGAGCCCCTCAAGAACTTTTCACGGATTTCAGTAAAACTAAGTGCATAATAAATCTGGAAATGGCCAAGGGTCACAAGATACCCTTATTTTTTAAGCTAAAAATGTATCCAGAAAGAGAGCACAGCAGGAGTTTCTCACGGACAATCCAGTCGTGATACCCGATATCTCCTAGGGTCCCTCATGCCAGCCAGGAGCGATCCCTGAGTGCAGAGTCCAGAAGCAAACCCTAAGTCCTGCTGAAGTCTCACAAGAACCATTAGAAGTAAATCAAAGCACTGAAATAGGGCAGCGTCCAATGAGTTGAGAGACGAAATACCAAATCCCCTGTGGTGGGAAAGAGATAGTACAGCAGATAAGACAGAAGTGCTGCACACACATGTGGGTTTGATCCCAGGCAGCCCATATGGTCTTGGAGCAAGGCCAGGTGTGGACCCTGAATACACAGGCAGAAATAATTCCTAATCCCTAAGGAAAAAAGAAAATGCAAAAACCGTCTGACTTGAGTGACTGATGCAAAAGTACTGGGGGTGAGGCAGCGACAGTTTAACTTGCCAAGAGGTTTAAATATACGGTTCCATATGTCCCCTGAACACTTGTAGGCGTCATCCTTTAGCAAAGAGCCAGGAGAACTGTGGACTGTGCCCCCCAAACAAAGGCAACAGCAAAACCAATTAAACACACAAAATTTCGTGTAGTACACAAAGTAAATTGTTGCACCAATGGATGGAACTATTTAAAGGGCCTGAGTGATAACTGGGCAGATAGGGATCTTCCCATGGACACAGTCGAAAACGGTTGATCTGAATCACCCCATAGGGTCCAGCTACCCCACAAGAGTAATTCCTGAAGACAAAGCTGAGAGTAAGCCCTGAGTATCCACAGGTGAACCCTAAAAAACATGAGGGAGGGAAGAGCTACTGCACGCCCGTCACAGAGCTACTGTTGGACACACAGCTTCCGCCCAACCCCAGGGAACCAACGCAGGTCTGTTCAGACATGGTTGGCTCCACACTGCTCTCACCGACAGCCTGCAGATTCTGGTAGGTCTCCAGCATCACGTCCCTGTAGAGCTTCCGCTGAGAGGCCTCCAGGCATAACCATTCCTCTGGGGTGAAGTTCACAGCCACGTCGTGGAAGGTCACTGTGTCCTGAGTCAGCACACGAAGAGGGTGGGAGTCAGAGTCTATCTTAGCCTCATTCACACTACTCTGAGGCCAGGTCCCAGGGTCCTATATTGTTGCGGGGCCCCTCCACTCCGAATAAACCAGCCTCCATGCTCACGCATGACTGATGGGCCACAAAAATCACATAAGGCAACTGGATCTGCTAAAGTGGGAGGACGTGATACAGAAGGTTCTTGGATATTTCTGCCTTTCCTGGTAACCCCCCCGGCCAATTCGAGCACCACTGTTCCAGTGAGCACTGTAGAGAGGATCACCTGAACACAGACTGTACGATCCAAAAGGCTATCCCTGGGTATAGCAAAAACTACTGCACGCTCACCGCTGCACCCCCACAGCACATGACCACTAGGATTGAGAACTCGGGAGTCCATATAGACAACTACTCAGAACAGTGCATGGCATGTCTGCCTGTAGGAACTCACTGCACTGGACCACCCCACATCCCGCTCAAAGAAGTTAGAAGTTTCTTGACCCCAACATCTCTACTGGCCGCAGAGATCCTTGGCTTTCTCCTTGGGATCAGCACATGCCCAGAAATCCACACACAAGATTATGTGAACGGAAGACTATATGGCCGAGCAGGTAGTCTCTCCAAAGTAGGAAGGACAAAACAGGAGAAAAGCAAATCTGGAGGCCCAAGTCATTGTAGTTGCCAGGGCGCAAACGGGGCCAACACACCCCAGGGTGCTCTGAGGCCAGTCAGTTGTGAATCCAGAGCACAGAGTCAAGAGGACAGCTGATGACAAAAACGATGCAAAAGAAGCCGAAGCAGCAGGTTGGCGTAACAGGACAGCTATTCCAGGGACAGCATGTAGGACTGGCGATCCCCAACATCCCATATGGTCCACAAGCACTGCCAGGGGCAATGCCAGAGTGCAGCACAAGAAATGATTGCAAGAATCCTTGCTCTGCCACCCCAAAGAAAACAGAAAACCCAAGATGAAACCTTTGGACCTCCAGCATCCCATTCGTCACCTAGACCTTTCAGGAATGAGCATTGAGCACTGAGCTTTGAGTACTCCTCATGCACCACTGGGTCGGCCCCAAGGCCAAATAAAACAAAACAAACATACACAAAAGCAGCTTCAAACAGCAGAATGGGACGGTCCGATCGGAAGTCTCATCTTGGAATCCGTCCAAAAGAAACTCAAACAGATGGTCCAGGAAGCCTGGGCACTCCTGGTACTACCTCATGTCATTCTATTCCTCTACTCCTACCTGGGGATGGTTTAGGAGAAGCCGCGTCACCATCTTCTCCTGTCACTGTTGTTCTGAGGATCAGCACGAGGCTCCCTGCAAAGACCTGGAGAAGTAGGAACATTCAGCACCAGACAGGAGCACCTCCTCCCACTCCTGAGCTCAGACCAGCCACACCCTCGGGCACAGCGTCACAATTCCAACTCTGGGAGACAATGGCAGAAGATTCCTGTCTCCGCTGGGGATGCAAATTTTGTTGGCATCTGTGCTGTACTTCAGGAGAGGAGCCTGGGCCCAGGCTAAAGGGGAAGAAAAGACAGCCTTCTCTGATCCCCAGATTCCTCTCTGGCTCCCACAGGAAAGTCCCTGTAGGCCCTTTCAGGGGCCGACTCTCAGCCCAGAAGCTCCTGAATACTAGCGCCCCCCTGCAGCTGGCAGCAGTGCTGTCCCTTGGGAACCGTAGCCTGGAATGTGTCTACACCATGTGACTTAGAGTGAACAAATCTTCGACGCTCTCTTGCAGGGTAGACAAGGACATGAACCTGGGCACTCTGTTCTGGGGACCTCAGTATTTACCACAATGGCAGGTGTCGTCTGCTCAGGGAGAGATGAAGAGTCAGGGCTTCTTTGCAGCTTGATGTGAGGGACCTGAAATTCATGAACCAGAAAAACATACACTGGTATTGTGGATAGAAGGCAATAATGTGAACTGGGTGCTTGACTAGATGAACCAACTAATCCTCTGTATCCGATATGGCCCCCAGCAGTGCCAGGGATAATACCTGAGCTTAGAGACTCGAGTAACTCATGAGCATCTCCGCGTATGTGCTCTCTCTCCCCCTAAAATATAAAGAACCAAAAATATCCCCCAAAATACATTTTCATTGGCAAACCTCTGCCACCTGCAGGCCCCCTTCCCCCCCACATACCCCGCATGATCGCGTCTATCACGGGAGAAAATGAAGATAACCAGCAACAGGTCTCCTGCCATTAGGTGGAGGGGCTGAAGCTCTGCCCCTCAAATCTCGGGATTCTACAGAAGTGAGCTTAGGGCCGATGGTTCTAACATGGCACTGCTGGGACGATTGGATTAGCCAAGCCCTCGGATGATTCCCGCATTCACCCACTGTTGCCCCATCCTGGAGCTGGAGACGATCATGGCAAAAGAGGCATGCCAGAATCACGAACTCACAACTGTCACACCTGAACCCTGAGACAGCCCCCACTGCACCCCCAAAGCTCTGTGTCGCCCTAAAGCCTCGATCACACCTCACGATCCACCTGTATGTTGGCGAACAAGTGAAAAACCAGCGCAAAAGTGCCCCCCAATTTGGCTCGGCCCCTCGGCTCAGAGTGTGGAAACGGGAAGGTGCAGGGTGCTCACAGGAGGTTGTTCGAATCCTGCAACTAAATCCTTCTTCAGAGTCCCCCTTCCAGGATGGGGAGCAAATTTACTTGTCCTTTGCCAAGTGAGCAACAGCCCCAGTGTCTGAGTGAGGGATGGAAAAAGAAACATGACATTTATGACATCACTTATGACATCACTTCCGCTTCCATTAGGTACTGTAAAGAGCCAGAGTCTAGGCACGGAGAACCTTTTTGCCACCCAGGTGAATCTGTGCTGCACGGGGGATGGACTCGAATAGAGGAGTGGAGAGGCAAATGCTGGACTGGTCGGTCACACACTGGGGGCCTGGGGGTAAGGAGAAGTCGCCTGATCCTGCATTTTCACCTAACATCGGACCAATGATATCTAAACACAGAAAGTTACCCTGACTCTTCTCAAATGATCTTTGCGCTCAGAGACAAGAGTAAACACTGAGCACTGTAGACTGTGGTGAAAAATATAACAAGAAAAAAGGCAAATTCTACTGAAGGGGGGAAAATGATGTACAAAGACAAATTTGAGAGTGAAACATTAAAAGAGTCAAATTTCTGGTCCTTAAAAATCCCCTATTCTTGGGGCTGGAGAGATAGCACAGTGGGTAGGGTGTTTGCCTTGCACGCAGCCAAACCGGGTTCGATTCCCAGCATTCCATATGGTCCCCTGAGCATTTCCAGGAGTAACTCCTGAGTGCAAAGCCAGGAGGAATCCCTGTGCATCGCCAAGTGTGACCCAAAAAAGAAAAAATAATCCCCTATTTTTGATCTATCCGTGCTACAGAAACTTACAGTTTCTCCTGAATCCCTGTTGTTCTTTCACCATTGTGCATATATATGTGTATATATAAGTGTGACTTTGTGTGATTTTTGTTTCGAGTCCACAACTGGCATATTCAGGGCTTACTCCTAGCTCTACACGCAGGAATCACTCTGGTACAGACCATATGGTATGCAGGGGATAGAACCTGGGTCGATTGCTTGTATGGTTAAGTCCTTACCCACTGTACTATGGCTCCGGGACTAAGTAAACGTGCTCCTAGCACACCCAGTGGGATTCCTGAGCAAATGTCCTTACTCCTGGAAAACCGAAACTTTCTTGCTTAAAAAAAACAAAATCCTTTACCCTGGTTGGACTCTAGTTCTAAACAATTTAGGTTTAACATTGGTTCATCATTTCTCCTGTGCTACAAGGAGCTGAGGCTTTCTGAGTAACACCCATCCCAATCACACCCATTTCCTTAGTATTCGTCTTTAATTCCCTGTGCTCTGCTTCCCCTATACATTATTCACCCATTTTCCCTAGATACAACCTGTGAATTGTAAAGTCAGATTCTCCAGAGATCTCTGGATTTTGTATTTGTAAATAAAATGTTGACTTTCTCTTTCCTTTATATCCTCTACAGTTTACTTTATAAAAATATCCTTTTTTTCTCCTGAACAAGGGCCAGTGCAGTCCCAAGTTGGGAAGATTGTGCTGGGATGATTGGGATGGCCATGCCCCCAGCCCTCAGCTTTGTCTAGACAAAGGAAGTCAATATTATGCTTTTTTAACTTCAGAGTTAATTAACTGCAGATACTATATACTCCTGGGCATTGTCTTGTTTATGAGACTTAAGCATCATCTGCCCTTTGTTCTTAGCACCCCAAAAGCAAGAGACTGAATGGACCCAGGAGAGCTGTGAGCTACCCAGGCATCGAAAAGGGACAGGAAAGAGGGGTGACTGATCATTTACGCAGATAAACATTTGGCAGAGTAAATTCTCATGGGGAGATTTACCCAAGGAGACACTCTGTCTCCCAGGGATATCTTCGTTGCTTTTATCTTTTCCTCTAGTTGTATAAGTTATCAACACTTGTAGTTGTTTGGATAAACACAGTAAGAGACAAATATCCCAACACTTAGTTCTCTGGGCTTTGACAGCAAATAAGGCTTTTTTCCTTTTTGCTTTTTAGGGTCACACCCGGTGATACAAGGGAATACTCCTGGCTCTGAGCTCAGGAGTTACTCCTGGCATTGCAGAAGGGACCATATGGGATGCTGGGAATCGAACCCAGGTTGGCCATGTGCAAGCCAAACACCCTACCCGCTGTGCTATCTCTCCAGCCCCCAGAGCAAATAAGGCTTTTAACACTTACTTCTCTGGGCTCTGAGACCAAGCAAGGCTTTTACTGTAAATCCCAGACTAAGTCTTCAGGCCAGTTCACCTTCTCCTTCCCCATGGGGATCCTGTCTCTAATGCTGTAACTGTTTGCATCAAGACCATGCACACGTGCTTTCTAGAATGTTCCATTTCGAAGCTGGGGTAGTTTTCCCACTTGCCCCTGGTCCATACAAGTTCCACGGCAGAACCTCCCTTTTGGGGTGTTAGGAACTACTTTAACTGAAGCCCGAGTCAAGTAATTATGACCAAGCAATTATGCCCAGGAGTAGATATACTTGAGTCCATCTACTCCGAAATACCAGGAGTATAAGCATTGATGGTCTTTCTGTGTTTAACCAAAGAACAGTGCTGTAGAGTGAAAACATAAAAATGCTATAGGGGAAACAGGGAAGCAGGTACAAATACACAGCCACTTCAACTACAAAGCAGTACAAATACAAAGTTGAGAATAATCAGAAAGTTATGGTATATAAGTAATCAAGACTGGCCTGGGAAATTGAGACAACGCGAAGAAAAATACAAAGGAAATGTTAAAGATAAACTTTAACTAAATTAGGGATGTTAGCAAGGACATGATAAGCTTTTCTGGGAGAAGCAAAAGGGGCAATTCACAGATGAAGCCTAAGACACTTTGGGTTAATATCCAGCAGATCACCAAGAGCCTGGCCCCTGTTTCCTTCTTTGATCCTCTGTTACCCTTCACCGGCCAGGGTGGGGAGACCAATCACAGCCACCAAAGGCATGCAGCGCATGTCCAGACATTATTTGAACACAACTCTCTGTGTAATAGCCGGGTTTTGCCTAATCAGGGAGAGATGAAGAGTCGGGGTGCAATTTTCAAATTGATTTTAGGATACAGAAATTCTACGTTAGAAAAAACAACAATGTGGATTCAGAGATATTAAGCTGGGAGGGGCATTCCCATGCTGACCCTGATTGATATTCGGCATCTCACATGACACCTAAAGAACTTAAAAAAAAAAAAAAAGAATTCCAGAGTGCTGCTCCTTAAAGAAGCCGGGAGATTACATATTTGTGCCCAAAATACAACCAAAAATAGCCCTAAAGTAAATTATCAGTTGCAAACCGCAACCACCCCTAGAACCCCACCCATGGCTGGTCTGGAAATCAAGGCTACTAATGAGTAGTGACTGAGGGCTACAGTGTCACTGAACAGTCCTTTTATAGTTTTGGAGGCACCACCGGCGATATGGACGAGAAATGTCTAACTGCGCTCAGGCACCCGTCCTGGTCGAGCTTGGAGATCGATCTTGGGTGGGCCAGATGCAAAGCAAACGCCCTAACCGCTGTGCTATCTCTCAGGTCCTCTAAGTGAACCTGCAGCTTCTACAGCAGTGAGGTTGGGGCCAAAGCTCCCAAAACAGGGCCCAGCGCAGTCCCGAGCTGGGAGGGTAGGAACGGCACAGTGCCCCCCCCACCCACTCGGCCCCGCGCCCACCTGCCGCCGTCCCACGGCGGAACTGCAGGGGATCCCCAGAACCACGCACTCACACCCGCAACCCCTGCGCCCCAGCAAAACTCCCACTGCACTCACCAAAGCTCCGAGTCCCCCACAAAACCCCGCCGGGCCGGGCCACAGGAACCGCCTGGATATCAGTTGAAAAAGCTTAAAAGTGTCCTTAGAGCTGGCTTGGCTCCGCCCCTCAGTGCAGAAACTGGGAGGCGCAGTGCGGGGTGCTCACCGGAGGCCGCTAGTGTCCTGCCACGAAAACGGCCTTCACAGACCCCTTCCACGACGGGACAGACAGCCTCTTCTCCCTTCACCTGCTTAACAAATGGAGGCCTGATCCAGCATCTTGCATGCAAACATGGAAATGCCCTGCTGTGACGTCACTTCCGCTTCTGCAAGCAGCCTTAAAGGGCCAGACACCAGCTGCGCAGAGAACAGCTAGGAAAATGCAGGTAAATGTGTAAGACTCGTTGGCTGGAGCGAAAGCACAGTGGATAGGGTGTTTGCCTTGTAAGCAGCTGACTCAGGTTCAATCATCTGGATTCTATATGGTCCCATTTTGGTGTATAAGAGATTGTTAGGATTTTACTGCTTCCAAAGTGTAAGTCTCAAAACGTTTACCCTCAATGTTTGTGTAAATCAAAGGGAAAACTGAATACAATGAGTGCAGATATGCTACAGCGAATGAAGTGCTTCCTTGCATGTGGCTCTACCTGGACACAAATTATGGACAGCACTGTGGGATGTGACTCCCAGAACATAACACAGAAGGGCCTGAAGAATAGAGGTTTGCCCTCTATACAACGTCAAAAAAGGCTAACCACAGAATCCTGGTTGGTCTATGCCATGATCTATGCAAAGCAGGGCCTCTGAGCCAAGTCAGAGTCACAGCAAAGAATGAAACCATGGTGAGTCGTGACAGTACCCAGCAAAATGCAATGTTTGTACCTATTTACTTCTTATTTAATTCCTTCCACCTTGCCTTATCACTAAGAACCATTATTTAACAGTTAAGATACTGGGAAGTCCACATGCCAGGACATTGTCATAACCATGGTGCAGGGGATAATCAGCAAGTACCTTTCACTTACGGTACTAGTATCACAGGAAGCTTTCACATATAACAGGATTATTTCCTTCCTTACTGTACTTTTGTATCTATCCCCCACCTACTTGTTGAAACTAAAATTGTTTTACCCAAGGACCCTGTTCTGACGCCGGCCATTGTTACCATGGAAGTGATTGATCCAACATAACTTTTATAT